CAACTTCAAAGCTCCTAGCCACTGGAGTGGTGGATCATGGAGGAATCCCCCTGAGTGTGCACAATTCCACTCAATTGAGAGTGGGGAAGTGCCTTTCTGCCTGTGTAGAAGGCATGAATATCCTTCTGCCTCAGGTTTGATGCTTTATTCAAGATGTTGCTGGTCTGGACAAGTTGTTTCCATCTATTTTGCAGTTTGCCCCTCTGGCTGGGAACTTCTTCCTAACATGAACTGGATGTTACATACCTGATGCCAATTCATTTTGGACTGGAATTGACCCTCCATGTTGCATTTCCAACTTCCTGACATCATCTGGATGTACATTCCCATGGTTTTTTGCTGCAGATTGTGCTGGGTTTAGGTTCTTGGAATGGAGGCTACTCTTCCCTTCTAGTTCCCAGACCTGAGGTGAATGGTTGAAGACTCTCCTCCTACCATGGACTGGTCGAGTTCCTCCCGGTGCCATTGGTCTGGACTGGAGTTGACCTCCTCCTCATGGCCCAATGCACCCTAGCCACTCTACACACATTCCACTTCCTTAGGGATTTGGAATTGTTACCTTGTTCCACTCTTTGATTGCAACACCACACCTGTTGGCTCCTCATGGGCAAAGAACTTACCTGGTTCAGATGTGGTGCGGGTTCCCATGTGTGTGTGTTTCCTTTCGATAGAGAGGGCTCACTACATGGGTATGCTTCAGATGGTTTTGAAGGATGCTCATCTAGGTTATTTACACCAGTCCCTCCACCTGCTCAATGTGAGATTCCAGCTGTAACTGTAAGGGGAGGTAAGTAATCATTTTGAAAGTTAATATTTTCCTTCACTGAAAATATATTTCCAATCAATACTTTCCTTCTCTCACACTTCCCATCCAACCTCCCCACATTTTTTTGCCTAATCTTGAAGTGAAGATTGGGTTCAACTGCACAGAGAGAGTCAGCTGTGATAGGAGGTTTTGTTACACTCCAATTGTTGAAGGACTGTCGCATGCTAATTTGCATGCTTAAACACAGCTGAACCACATGGTATACTGTAGAATTAGGTTGGAGTTTCAAGGCTAGTAGCAAACAAAAATTTGTGCACTAGAGGGCAGTCAGGTCAAGAATAGTTGTAACTGTCAGCGGAGGCAAGTATCTATCAGAAATATATTTTTAATGTAGGAAAATATTAACTTTAGTATTAAATAGCTAAATAAATTAAGGAGTCATTCCAAGTGGGTCTTGTATGTAAGCCAAGGGTTTAACAGAAAGTTTGGTTTATAACAATATCACCACATGTGCCAAAACCCTCTCAGGGTTGTTCTTTTAAACTTTTAAAATTACAACTGTACAATAAAACAGTAATATTGCGAAAACCTGTTTTTAAGCATTTTCATTTGAAACTAATACTATCCACATTATAATAGGATGACTCTTCAAGATTATGTATTTTGATGTTTATCCTAACATCTATTTGAACTTTGTATTCAACAGATCCCAGTTTTGTTATGAGCTTTATCTACGTCCAGATCTTTATAGTGAACGGCACAGCCAGTGGTTTTACTTTTGTGTATCTAATACGAGATCAAACATTACGTATCGCTTCTCAATTGTGAATTTTCGAAAGCCATACAGCTTGTACAGTTGTGGGATGCAGCCTTTACGATACTCAGAAAAAATGGCTGAGTCTCAGGAAGTGGGATGGCATAGAGTAGGCAAAGATATATCATATTTTAAGAATAACTTGATGTGAGTAAAAGTCTAATTTAAATATTAAGTTTTATAGCTAATCAGCAAATTTGGGATGCACCTAGTGATAGAATAATAAAGTTTATGTTACTCATAAACTCTGGCACATTAAAAATTCACAAATAAATTCATAACTGCAAACTTTATAAAACTACTAGTTTACTTCTGAAAAACACAGCATTATATAATTCCCAGAAATTGTGCAATCTGTTAGATACTTTCTTAAATGGGTAATGTTAATGACTTATAAATGCACATAATACTTGTACTTCATTATTACAAAAGTTGACTTAGTAATAGTGGAGTTGTTCACCTATTTATTAGCTATATTTGCTTTTACAATGATTATTCTTTACCATTCACTTTATTTTTATGATAAATAGTTTAGTAAAATTTATGATAATCTTTAATAATGGAATATATGCAGTATACAGACAGATGGTTTTAAAAATGTGTGGAATAAAAACAAAACTTGTTTGGAAGATGTTTATTAGTATACAAAAGTAAACAAAGTTAAACAACATTTTTCTATATTTGTCCTAAAGTATTTCTCTTGTGGATGATATTATAAATGGCAGCAAAAAATCTATACAAATAAAATATAGAAAAAAAACTAGGAAAATTTGTCATGAAATATAATGACAGATATCTTTAGACAAATGTTTAAACTCCAGCATAAAATTAGATAAATTAGGAGTGGGTTTAAGTATTTTTAGAACAGCTCCTGTGATTAAGAAAAGCTTGATAAAAGTTTCATTGATATAAAATCCAGTTAGAATTACACATCAGTTGAAGCTTTAATAGAAAAGATAACTATAACATAAGTATAACATCAATATTTTTCACTTTAATGTAGTTTGACAATATAGAAATAGTTCTTTCTTTACAGCCTTCCTTGGCTATGTATACATATGGAACTAGTTAGAAATGAAGTAATAATGAAGTCTGTTGCATCAACTAGTAACTTATAGATACAGTAGAGTGCTGATTATGGAAACTAACTGGGACCAAGAGAGGTTAAGATAATTGGACGTTATTAAAAAATTGTATTTTGAATACAGCAAATTTATCTTGTATATATATTTTACAATACTTCTCTGCTAGCTATTGATTAGGTTAATCTTTTTTTTAAACTTTTTCACAATGCCCACTTTGTCACACAATGAAAGCACCACTTTTTTGCATTTGGTAGACATTTTCACCCCAACAAAGAACAACTTTGATTTATAGAAAATTAAACACATTTTTAGATTTTAAGGAAACACAAAGCATGTCTGCACTCAATAAGGCAACCTCACAACTGATGGTTCTGCAGTAAGATCTACCCTTTGCTATAAAGTGATCAAAGCATGTTTGGACAGGTTTAACATCTGTATGTTTTTTTACATGTATATACATATTTTTACTTTTCAAAATTTGATCTTTATAATTGGACATCTGGATAACTGGTGTTCTACATTATGCAAATATGAACTGTTTGTCTGCTTACACTTATTGGGAAACTTTGCCTATTATACAAGGTATTTAGCATACTTATTTAAAAATACATTAATAAATGAGATAATTTTCTAGGCAAGTTAATAGTATGTGTAATTAAGCAGGTATTATTTTAATCAAAGCATGAAGAATGATTTTGTGTTATTTACAAAAAATGTTTTTAACTTTGCAATGCTATATCTATATCTATTAGTGTACTTTATGAGTTTTGAATTTCAAACTTAAACATTAAAAGAAGTAATAAAAAGCATGTTTTATGTTTCAAGCATTACAATTATATAGTTTTTTGTAATTTATGTTTTATGATTCCTCAGTTTGCATTGAAATTTTTCAGTAACGGAGATGGAGCTACCATGTACAGCTTGACTTTTTCATTTGAGTTTCCTTATGATTATGATAGAGTCTTCTTTGCATTTTGCTTCCCCTACACATATACTGATCTGATGGTAAGCTGTTTTAAATGTATTTACTGGGATTTTTAAATAAATTATATCAGTTATACAGGTTTCTGTCATTTATACCTTAGAACATGCTTTGTTCTTATTTTCTGATGAAAAAATAGCTAATTTTAATATTCATTACCAAACTATTGTACTTTATTTAACTTATTGAATGCTTTTTAATGGAAAATATACATCTTTAAAATATAAATATCTTGATTGTAGTTTTCATTATTTTTTAGTTTTTTAAACTTCTGTTTATGGTAAAACTACATGTTTTGTTATTTCTTTATAATTTGAATTTTCAAAGTGTGTGTGTATTTTTACTTAAAATTATGTGTCATATGTTATAGGAATATTTGTCAAAGATTGAAAATGAACCAACTAAGAGGACTCTGTGTAAGCAGAGGTTATTGTGTCGGACACTTGCAGGCAACCTTGTACCACTACTTACAGTAACTTCCAGGGCTTCAGACATTGGACCAGTTAAGGTAAAGAATGCAAAATGCTTCAATAAAATATATAAACTTAGTGAAAGTTTTAACAGCTTATTTTGATTTGTCATCATTTTGGAATTTGAGATTGATGTTTTCATTTCCTGTTTTGTATTATGAATTATATGTACCTTGTGTGTCTTTATAAGCACTTAATGATAATGGCCCATTGTCTCTTATTATTTTGCATTCCAAGTTGTATTTTAAAACTTGTATATTTTTGTATAATAGTTTCTTTATAAATTGTTTGTTTTTTAAAAAATAAACCTGAAATTAACACTATTGTAAAAAATCATACATGAATTGATTTAATTGTACATTCTTGTGTTTTCAAACTCTAATGTATGATACTCTTGACGTGATATATATACTTTACTAATACAATAATTTTGATGTCAATAAGTTGAAATTGATATTTCCAGAAAAAAGTTGTCATAATTTCTGCCAGAGTCCATCCTGGGGAGTCCAATTCTAGTTGGATAATGAAAGGACTTCTGGATTTCATCCTTGCAGACTCTTCCAAAGCTGAAGTAAGTATTTGTAGAGTACTCGGTTGTTTATTGAACTTAGCATGTTTTTTTTTCATTCTGTTGCACATTATTATTCATGTATAGATTGAAGAAAATGTTTATTCAGAAGTACTGAATTTGTCTAATATATATCAACTTTAAAGGTTTTGAATAATTTAGTTTCAAAGTGACACTAAATGCTCTGTGATGTATATTACATTTTAACTAGGATGTTAGTCCATGGTGCCAGGTGTGACAAAGTGGTTTACATGCCTATTTTGTGAATGCTAGGGGTTTATGGTTCATATTTTGTTGTTGCATAAATACACTCCCCACTTTATGGTTTTGGGTGTAACATCTTTGTGATAAGATAAGTTATACAACAGGATATTTGTAATTATGACACTAACATGTTACAGGAAATTTAATTTTTATTTCATGTGAACTGTGTAAAATAATTAAGCTTTTCTATTAAAATTATAAATCAACCATTTTTCTCCATACGTTAATGTGATGTATTTTTGTATTTAAACAAAAACTTTGCTCACATGATCATATAGTTATACAGATAGTGTATTAGTTGACTAAGATTTATGTAGTTTAGCTAATGGCTTTTTTTTTTAGCTGCTACGGAAACAACTGATTTTCAAGATTGTTCCAATGCTAAATCCTGATGGAGTAGTTGTCGGAAACTATCGCTGTTCATTAACTGGTCGGGACCTCAATCGTCAATATCAGTCTTCCTTAAAAGAAGCTTTTCCAACTGCTTGGTACCTGAAAAACCTGCTTACTAGGTAGGTGTGACAAATTTTTAGGTTTCATTATGGTGTTATCAGGATGCAAAAATATTATAGTAGTCCAGCTAAACTTAATTTTTGGAAAGTATTTTAAATTTTTTTTTCATTCATTTATTAAATAAATGGATGTTCAAATAAAAATAATATATTGTTCATAGAATAGTGAGTGGATTTTTCATCTACAAGTGAGAAAGTGTATACAACAAATTATTCTTGTTTTGTTTAGACCTACCCAATCGGGTGTATGGGGAATAACTTGGAGCAAAAGCTAAACTTATGAATACTTTTTTGAAAGGAAACTAAATAATAAAATAACTACAAAGTTTTGTTGCTGTGCTTTAGATAAAAGATGTAGATTATAATTAGTCATTCAAGAAGTAGACTATTCATAATACTCAACTATTTTTTCCCAATATAACTTGTATTCTCAGAAATCATATTGGGCTGCACCTATTCTGCAGTTTGAAAGCTCAAATGTTTGAGCCTGCAATATGCTGTTGAATACATACACACACAGCCCTTTCAGCTGTGTGTGCATTACAAAAGTGACAGTCAGCTTCATTATTTGGTTAAGAGTTACCATGTAGTTGGAAGGTGTTGTTGACTGGATTCATTTCTACTCAGTAATTCAATATTAGAAGTGGCTTTGCCTGAATCTTCTGGACTTTAATCTGGACATTTAGCCTATGCACAAAGTACCACTCAGATTGAAAATACCAAATAATGTATCTGAAATATATCTGATTCTGAAACTTCAGTTACTACTCTGGTGTAAAATAGATTTAAATGTCTTTTTTTCCTTAGGATGCAGAGAGATCATGACATATTACTGTTCTGTGACATTCATGGTCATAGCCGCAAGTATAATTCCTTCATCTATGGTTGTGACAGCAAGAAAGAGACAACAGATCAACAGCACGTCTTTCCTTTCCTGATGCAAAAGTGGGCTTCAGACTTGGTAAAGTAGAAGATATGTATTTACCTTAAACTACAAGAAGCTGATATATAATTTTAGATTTCAGATACTATTGTATTTCTAGAAACTAACTTTCATTTTACACTAGTAGTAATATTTTTTTAGTCTTTGATGCTCAGTTTTGTAGGTTTAAAATCTATGTATGAATACTTAATCTCAGACTAAAGTACTCACCTCCCCACAGACTAGTTAGATATCACTTTATTGCTACTGTAGAAAAGTTTTTGAACATGAGTGAAACTATTGAAAGATCCCTCACTCATGCATGTAATAATATACACTCTGCTAGTGTATGTTGTTAAATAACATTAGAAAATATCTCTCCACCTTCTTTCCATTTATAATATGTTTATTTGCCTCATAAAGAATGAACTTATGATTTGGGTGCCTGAAATGGTTCTGGAAGCTAGGATTTCAACTTGCAATCTGCTAGTCACTAGATTAAAATCCATTTCCAAACATACTAGCCCTTTCATCAGTGGGGGCATTATAATATTTGTTCATTAGTAAAGAGTACCCCAAGAGTTAGTAGTGTTTTCCTCATAGTTGCCTTCTTTGTGGTTGGTAGTTCAAAACCAGAAGAGGTGGCAGATAGCTTTAGTAGCTTTGCTATGAAACAAACAAAACAACAAGCTTTTGGGTTACACTGTTCAAAGAGAGTATTGTGCAAGGAAGTTATGTCACTCTTCTGTTAATGTAAAGATATTGTATGATGCTGCTTAACAACATAAATAGCATGATACAAGATAGTATGTGCAGGGGTGAGAGGTACTAGCTAATTAATTTCTGGAGATACGATAATCTATTTGAATTACATTTTCAGGTAGGGAAAATGTTAACTATCATTTTACGTATTTTGAAATATGTATTATTTCAAGTCTGTTTTTGAACAGAGTGAAGTAGTGAATTTTGTTCATAACAATTGGCAGTAACTTTGTATAAAACAGTGTCAGTGAAAATATAATATTCCTTAGTGTTACCTATAATTTTCATAAAAACTTTGACATTTTTATATAGAGGGCAAAATGATAAAGTATTATCTTGTGTGATTTTTTTTTTTTTTTTTCAAAACTTCTGGACACATTTGGTTAAAGGATAAGTATGCTTGAAAATTTATATTATTGTCATCTTCACTGATATCTCTTTACACATGTATTGGTATATACATGTTTCAGTTCAGCTTGTCTTGTTGCTGGTACAAAGTTCAACGAATTAAGGAAGGCACTGCTCGTATTGCCATGTGGAGACTTGGAGTTACGAATAGCTACACCTTGGAGGTATTAGTTTCATGTAGCTATTTCTGTAATAAGGATCTCTTTTGTAGCTCACAGCTGTAAGAAATATTTATTAGCAGACTTTTTTTGTTCATTTTAAAAAGGATAAAATGTCAAATTTTCAACTTGATAAAGTTCATCTTCTCTCTTGAAGCAGAGACATTAAAGAAGAAATCAAATGAACATTCCCCCAAATTGAATGTAGTAAGGAGCAGTTAAAATTAAGTATACCAGATGACTCAGATCATCTGAATTATTTTTTCAGAACTATCAGAATGAATGTATTTTTTTTATTCTTAATTCGTAGATTTGTTCATTTGTCTTTCTTTTTAACTTTTATGAGTTAATTGACAAACCAATATTATTAGTTTTTAGGGCTACCAGTAACTAATTTATTTCTTTGACTCATTGTCTGAGTATCTAATGTGTTTTTCATAGTATGTTGTCCAAGTGTATGCATTTAAAAAACATTTTAATCCTTATTTTTTAATCTCTCATAAACCATTAGTCTTGTACTTGGAATGTGTAATTTAACTAAGAATTTGGACAATTCTCTATATTCATTATTAAGGAACTATTCATATAACAGCATATTCTAATAATGTAATTTAAAAGTAATTATTAGTCTGAAAAATTCATCATCATTATAAGAAAAATATATTTAGAAATTTATTTAGCAATATTATGCACTGAATTTCACCTTAGACTTTGTAGCAAAAATTAATATAAAATAAATAAATTAGAGAATTCAGTATTGTGTATATTTAAAGATAATGTAAATTTAGATTAGCATTTTCTACCGAAAATTCATCAATTAATTATACTCAACAAAAACATAGTCCTCTGTTATTGTTGTAAAAACATTTTAGCTAAAAAAACTTTAAAATAGAATAGAATAGAAACATATCAGTCATGTTACCTCAGTTTTGCAGGATTTTAATATTGAATAAGTTTAAATGTAGTTTATTGTATTTATGAGATATTTTGGTGATGTTATATTAAAATCGAAAAAATTATTTTACATTGTCACTTGTTCTGCTTCTGCTTTGTAGGCTTCAATGGCTGGGTCTTCAAAGGGTAATTTAGCAGGATATCATTTTACAACTTCTGACTATGAAGCTATTGGCCATCATTTCTGTGAAGCTTTATTGGAATACTGTACAATTGATGATGTGAAAGTAGGTGTAGCTTTGGAACTGTATCACTAGAATTAATATATATGTATGTATGTATCTTTATAATACTACTGTCTGTTGTATGCGGGGTGTAGATGGATGTTCACCAAAATTGGTATAGAGGTTTATTAGGTCCATGCAGGGGTACATACAAATTTTCAGTTTTGCAGTTTTTATGGCCATTTTTGTGTTTTTTACCACTACTTCACTCCCTGTAGTTGGATTTTCACCAAATTTATTATGGAGGTTCATTGGGTTCTTGAGGAGATACATACAAATTTTCATTTTTGTAGTTTTTATGGTTGTTTTTAACCACTACTTCACCCCCTGTAGATGGATCTTCACCAAATTTATTATGGAGGCTCATTGGGTCCATGGGAAGATGCATGCAAATTTGAAATTTCACATTTTGTGTTTTACATTTCTTATGAGGGTTTTTGCATTTTTGACAATTACATGTAAGAGAAGCAACTTTTCTTGTCCTAAGATAATCTTTCATTAATCAAGAATTTACATAATTTCCGTCCAGGGGATGGATACTCCAGCTAGTATAAAATAAAACACAACATTTGAAAAAGTTTTTAATTTCTGTTTTATTTCTAGAAGTGTTATGTTAAATGTCTTGATGGAATAGCTTTAATACCACTATTTTCATTACAAGAAGACCCAAAATTATATACTTAAAGGTTCTAGTAGACTACAATATTTATCTCTAATACATTCAATAAAATGCTGGCTGTCATGTAATCAAATGGACTAATTAGGGGATTTCTGAAATGTAGATTCATTCTCATTGTTAATATTTCTGTTTTTCATATATATATATAGCTTTGCAACTATAACATTTTAAAAGATATATCCATTTAACATATTTAGAATTATAGACAAGTTTGCTTTTTACATAAAAATAAGCCTACCAATTCACATTGGTATCCGAATTTCTATAGTAATCACCTAAAACATACTAAATTAATTATTCCAATGAATTTGACCAATGATTGTATTCCTTAGTTTCCAAAAATGAAAAAAGATTAACTGAATTTAAAAGATTCCATATAAGTATCTAATAAATATTATGGGGAGAAGCTTACACCTACTAAAAATAATTTTGAAATAAAATAAACTTAAAAAAGGACTATATTATATTTGTTAATGTATATTGTTTGAATGTTAGTATAAATTTAAAATATGTATGCAGTAGAAAATCAGTGTGGTTGATGAAAATTTGAGAAAGCTACTTAATTACAAAGTTATTGTATCTAAAAGTCCACCTAAAATCTTATATTGAATGTTGACTAACCAAAATAAGAATATTATTGGAGAATGAGAAGGGATATTTGTATGTTATGCATTAAATTGCAAATAATGTAAAGGCTATTTAGGAACAGATGAAGAAATGAAATAATCAACTGAGGAAGTAATTTTTCTATGTGAATAGTTAACTTGATTTTATTTATAAATATTGTATTAACAAAACTAGTTACATAGTCAAAACAGAAGAAATAAGAATGAATATACACAAATCACATATTGGAAATACTGTATTAGATTAGTTTATTATGTGCCAGCTAGCATTTTAATAAATATGTTAAAAAGATATTTGGTAGTTTAGTGGAACCTGTTTTTTTTTTCAGTAATTCTTTTTTTTTCTGTATTATAGCATTAAAAATGAAAGCAAGTGGTTTGAAAATGATTTTATCAAGAAAAAGTATTATGTTGTACACAAAGGATGTATGTCACTAAATACCTAAAGTGGCCCATTGAATCACAAAAAAATATAAATTTGGTAGAAAGGTGGTTTCACCATTTGTGGGTATTGAGTTTCATGAACATGTTATTGACTATCTGTCATAAAGTTGAACAGAAATCACATACATGCCATGTTGATTGTAATGTGTTCTATATTTATGCCTTAACATAGCATATTTAAAGAGAATTACATGACCTGATTTAGAATGATTGTCTTTCAGATACAAAATTAAAACTTGCATGAAATGTTGTGAAGATGTTAGCTTTTTCATTTCCATACTTCCAAAAAATAAAAGCAGTACTTACACACAGAACACATCCTTGCCCTTCCAACACTAAATGAGTAAAATGCAATTGCTCAGTACTTGATGCAGATAACTAAATGACATTACATTCAGTGCTGAGCAGCTTGCTTGAAGCTAAGACTTATATCCCATTAATATCATATAATGCACTGCCAATAGAATCTAATATTTTACTTTCCTGTTTTGAGCCACTGTAGTTGTGATTGTGAATATACCTCAGTGTGTCACTACTTTAGCTGATATATTTTGCTAAATTTGTCAATTATCATGTAACTTTGTTCTGCAACAATTCTAGAAGTAATTAATATATAATGGACTTTGGTTAAAATAAATGCCAGTGACCACCATCAGTGGAACTGTGGCAATGTGAGGATGTAATGTGTGATAAGCAGTCTTATGTCTGTCACACCCAAATTTGATATGGACCATTTAGGCTATTTTTGACAATCATCCATTACAACACGTGAAGAACTAAGTGCAGCCATTTTTGTAATATTTGTTTGCTGTATTTCTCTCACTATAAAACTGGTTGAAAACTATGAGAGAAAAATGTACATTTAAAAATACGTATCAAATTACGGAGTACGTAACAATGTTTATTATTTAATAATTATCTTTATCATCAAAAATTTGTAATAAACACCGAATATTCTATATTGCAGTAATTTTTTTCTTTCATCTGTATTATGTTAAATAGTTTAGCTCAACCTTAATTTTTATACCATTTTGTGTTGTTTCTATTTCAGTTTCAAAACTTAATAACTTGTGCACATATCAAGTTTTACTTTTTGTGGAAGTAAGTTAATGTAATGAAACATAGACAAGCAAAATTTTGTTCAGTTGAGGTTTGGGCCTTTGGTGTTTTCACAGATTCTATTAAGCCTGAGGAAGGGTTGTTTCTTGAAACAAAGCCTGAAAAATTTTGTAACATTGCACTATATCAGTTTTGAACATGCGTCTGAGTTTGTCCAATATTCTGATATCTTTACTGGTAACCAAATAAACTTCTGAAATTATTTTTTACTGCTGATGTGGTCATTTTCTTTCTGTTCTTGATATTAGAATCCAATTTTTCTCCTCATACTCCACAAATCATGGTTCATCCCCACAGTATCCACATCGTCAATAATTATTTGTAGCTAGAAGTCCAGTGTTCTAGTTTAGGGCTCTTCTGTTTGGACTAACCTCTGGTCCTTATGCGACTTGTCGGATGGTAAGAGCATTTGCCCAACATCTTCACACTCCTCATTATATGGATGACTGGCTCCTGCTCGCTTCTTCCTGTTCACAGTCCAGAGACCACAGTCATCTGCTTCTTCAAGAAGCAGCATAGGGGGGGATTCCTGTTAAAGTTGGAGAAGTCCATTCTCACCCCCACTCAATACTTTGGTTAGTTGTGGATTTTCTTCAGTTCCAACCTAACTCAGGCCCAGCCTTCTCCTCTTTGTCTTCAAGATATGGAGCAAGCAATCCACAAGGCCTTAACCTCACATTCTCTCACAGCTTGAGAGGTTCCATCTCTTATGGGAATGTGGGCTTCCTTGAAAGTTCTCATACCCATGGGTCAATCTCATATGCATTCACTTCAGTGGACACTCCTCAATCAGTAGAACTTTTTGGATTCCTTGGACCACCTTTTTTATCTTTCCTTCCCCAATCAGGGCCAGCCTGACTTGGTGTCTAGACAAGGGGCCAGACCACTGCGGGAGTTCCGCTTTCTCTATCTCATTTAGATTTACATACTTTCATGAACACGTCTTTAGAGGGTTGGGGTGCTTACCTCGAAACTCAGAAGATTTCTGGTCTCTGGTTGGTCAAGGAGTCTTCTCTACATATCAACATTCTCATTTATGGTGATTCGTCAAGCTTTGTCCAACTTTCTTCACCTACTGTGGGGGAGGATGGTTATGGTACACTCCAATAGCTCCACGGTGGTCACTTATATTATCAAGCAAGGGGGTCTCTATGTTTTCAGACCCTGGATCTCCTTTTTCTGTACCCAAAGTCTCCACATGGTTGTCTTAGCTAGCCATGTTCTGGCACCATGAATCTGAATGTGGATCATTTATCTCAACCCAACAAGATTCTCCCCATGGAGTGGTCCATCAATCCACAGGTCTTTTGGTGGGTGTGTTCTCAGCTGAGAACATCTCGTATCAATGCTTTCACCACCTACTGGAACACCAAACTTCCTTTCTTTGGTCTCCCGTTCAACACTTGCTGGCTCTGGGAGTGGATATATTCATTCAAGATTGGAGGGATCATCACATCTATGCTTACCCTCCTATTCTACTCCTCTTTAGAGGTCTATCCATAATACAAATCACTCAATGTCTATTCTTATATGTGGCTTTGTATTGACTCATGCAACCATGGTTCCCTGTGCAACCTCTCCTACCTTTACCTCTGTCTCGGTCTTTACTCTGTCAACTGTGGTTGGACATTATTCATCCAGATGTCACCACACTCTGTCTTCACTTGTGGCTTTTGTCAGGACCATTATCTCAGCCTAGGGACTGACTCCACTTATTGCATCCTTGCTTTCCCAATCCATCTTACCTTCTTCCCTGTCCATTTACCAAAGGCGATGGTCTGCCTTCAGCCTTTAGTCTTTTTGATGTGGCCTCTGTCTCTCCCACCCTTCCATTCTTTGTCTTCCTAATTCTTTAACTGGTTATTTGTCAAAGGCTTGACTACTTTTACCATGTCCAGCTATTGGACATCCTTGTGGAACACCTTTTGTTTCTCTAAGTTTCATAAGTTTTTGTCTTCACTTGTCATTTCACTCTTTTTCCACTCTGTTTGGGTCATGCATCCTCCACATTCCTTCAACTTGCGTGATTGAGATCTCAGTATGGTCCTTTATGTCATTTCTTGTCCTTCCTTTGAACTTTTGTCTGCATGTTCCATGTACCATCTCTCCATCAAGAACTATTTCCTTCTCCTCCTTTCTTGCAGACCACGTTTATGTTCCCCCATCCTCTTGTGTCATTTTATGTCCCGATCAGTCCTTCCTCTCTAAGACTTATGCTGCCCATGGAAGTGGTTTGGCTTTCACACCCATTTCCTTACTTTCCATCTCCCACCTGTATTCCTGTTCTGATCCTGATTGACTTCTTTGTCTGGTTTGCTCCTTACAATGTTATGTGACACATAATGCCTCCTTTTGGGCTTCACATTCCCAACTTTTTATACCCTGAAACCCTTCCATTTCTCCTGACCTTTCCCCTGTCACATGAACTGGTTGGGTTTATCATCTTGTTAGGCTGGTGTAATCGGACTTATCCATGGAAGGTTACTGTCTCAACAACATTTCTTCTATTCAAATTCATCATATCACCATGTCTTTGGCTGCTCATCTTCACTGTCACTTGGAGGAGACTACTCCCAATTCGTTATTCATTATCTGTATGATCTGGCTGCATATTTCTCAGGTGGATATTGTTTTCCTCTTATGACAGTTCTACACACATCTGTTCGCCTTTGATTGGGGTAAGTCTTATCACTTCCTTTCATTTATGCTTTTATTTTCAGCAACCCACATTTTTTACCATTGATAGTGGGATCCCTCTCTGTGGTGGGTGTTGAATGGTTTGCCTCAAACCTGCACTTTTATACTGATTGCACCATAACGCTCACTGTAGAGATGGTGTGTTCTGTAAGACCACTTGTGACATACCCAGTAATATATATATATATATATATATATATATATATATGTGTTTCTAGATATCAGTAACTTTCACTCATGGGGGGACCATCATTCAAAGCATAAGGAGATTTATGCCCATCCCTGCCAACCCTTTGATTGAATAAATTGGGGTCAATCTGCTTTTCAAAATAGGGAATTGCAGACACTAATTGCACTTTCACTGGTGTGATGTTCCTCCAGTCTCACCGCCGCATTCCCTAGTTTTTTCTTCTAGTGGAGCATGGGAGTCCTTACCACTTCTCAGTTGCTGGAGTGGTGGACAATGGAGGCTTCCTCCTGAGTAATTTTAAAAATTAAACTTAACATACATACTCATGGTTATACACATAGTAAGAAGAGAGCAAAGCTGGTTTTCGTCCTTCCATTTCCCCTGGATGTTTTTCCACAGATGGATGGCTGTCTGTTAGAGCAGATCCAGCCTACATGTGATCCTCCTCATTATTCCAGGTTTGAGATAACATTGTCCAGCTCCAATGGTTGTGTGCGGTAGGAGCTCCTCTTCTCATAAATTCTGGTTGCAGGAGATTTTTTCCTTGCTCTTACGGTTCATTTTTGGGGATTTTGTCTGCCTTGTAATACCGGCAACAGGACATTTGTATGCTGTTCGTATGGTTGAGCAAATGTTCCATGTCCTCCTCATAATTCCAGATGCAGGATGTCTCTTCCCTGCATTTACAGTTGAGTAAGTTATGATTTCTACTTGTAATACTGGTTACAGATATCACCCTGTTCTTATGGTTGGGTTGAGGCAACACTGTGACCCTGTAATTCTGGGTTTGGTTTGTTGTACTTTTTGGTTTTGGGAGTTTGTCCAGTTTCAGCCGAAAGCTAACTTCCTCTTCATAATTCCTATTGCTTGATGTTTACTTACAGTTGAGGTTGATAAATATATGTAACACGGTCCACATGCCCTAGCAACTATGTTTATGTTACAATTTTTTTTTAGCCTTTTTGATCCTCAACCTCCTAATGCTGAGGATGAGTTATGGAACCTCGTCTGTCCAGTTGAGGTTGTGTATGGGCATAGCTAGTTTGGTTTATATTTTACTCTGGATGCCCTCTCCAAACAAACTGCACTTGTGCACATCTTTTTCTCTGCTTGTATAGGATTCATTTCCTACTTCAATGACGAAGAGCATACCTGTTTCAGAAGTAGTGCAGTATCCCACGTGTGCTTCATTTTCATCTCGGAGCACACCCACTCATTCTCCACTTGGTTTCAATGTTGTTAGCCTAAGTCAGCCTCTCTACCTTTGCTGTTAAGATTGCATTGGAAGTTAACATTTTCTTACATTGGAAATGTATTTCCAATAGGTACTTACCTTCTTTCACACACTTCCCACCATTCCTTCCCTCTGCCAGTGTTCTTCTTTTAGAGCCTGTCAATTTTTGAAAATGAGGATTGAGCAGGAATAGCAGAGGGAATTAGTTGCATCAATATAGGTGGCATAATACTATTGGTAGAGAGTAGTTACATGATATTTACATGTACAAAAATGACAATAAATTGATGGGGTTTATAGACTGGTGCACTAAGCACTAAAATCTTTTAGCAATGCTATTTGATATCAGAAAATTCTTGATTGTTGGTAACACAACTACCTGTTGTAATAGCATTGCCATTAATTAGTTAATTGTTGATTTTTACATGTTCATAAATAAATGCAACTCAAATGTATAGAATAAAAGTACCAGCTGAGTTGGGCTAGCAGCTTTTAGTCAATATATTCATGCATACAAGCTGAAGCATTGTGTATTGTTTGGAAATCAAATATAATGTCTGTATTAAGATAATAATAAAAATTATTAGCACAAAGATTATATGTCATTAGACTATGTAATCTAACTCATCTTTGGGTTGTAGACCTGGATTAATTATTAAACAGTAAGTTATGAAAGAAAGAGAAAAAGACTTTCTGTGGGTGATGAACTTGTATGTTTTAAGTGAAGTTGTTTATTACAATGTATAGTTTCCTGACTTAAAATATATTTTTATGTGAATGTGTACAAATGTAAATCTCTACACTTTTGGTGTAAGAATGTTAGGCTGTAGTAATAAAGTTGGTGTGATTTGCATGCTAAGGTACATATTGCTGTGATAATATAACTTGTGTAATGTTCTTGAGCATTAATTTGATATGGTTTTATTGATGAATTTTGTTATAAACAATAAGCTAGAAATATACATTATTCAGTTATTTTAAACATTAGTAATGTAAAACATTTTTTCATAAGAGTAGCTTCATCTTATATGGTTGGTTTTATAGTAATGAGATTATTAGCATGTTTGAGTTAATTAGGATTTCCCACTTTTCCATTATAAGAACACGTTTTGCTTGAATATAGGCCAAAAGTTAAAACCATTGTTAAGTAGACTGATCTTCCTAGAAACATGTTTTGTTTAACAGATTAACAATTAACAATGACAAGATGTTGATTTTGTGATGTTTCATTGTCGTAAGTATGAAAATGCTTCATGTTAGTAGGTCTTGTATAGTTGTTTTTTGTGTTCTAGTTGGAATCTTGTGATATTTTTAAAGTTTTGTGTAGTTCATGGCCTTGTATGTGTTAAATACTGTAGAAAAAAAATGTATTGTTTCATATACTGTTAGTTACTTTATTAGTCTTTTTGACATAAGTTATTACATTGATAGCTTGAGAGAAATCATGCTAGTTTGGATTTTATTAATTTATAAAGCTCTAAACAGTGTCAAAGCAGTTGGGTTGGGCATGACTTAGTGGCTAGCATGCCAGCCTTTGAGTCTTAAAAAGAGTCTATAGTTCACATCCCATTGGATTACAAGAATGATGGATAAAATCCCAATATCAAATTAGAGTATTCCAAAAGTTATTGATGGGTGCTGTTGACTAGCGCCTTCCTTCTGGTCTATCAGTTCAAAATTAGGGATTTGTAATGCAAATAACCCTTGTGTTATTTTGTGCAAAAACTTGGAACAAGCAAACAAACAATGTCACAAAAAGCTTGTACTGATTGAAAGGAAGTTGAGATTCTGTTGTTGAGGCAAGAATTTTCACGGTGTTACAAAGCATTTTATGAAATTTTTAGCATGTATCACCACTGTAATGTAAATGCAATTTTATCTTTTATTTGAAATAACAGAATAAAACAAAACTATTGTTTCAGTGATTCCACAGTTTCTATACAAATTTTAGCAATGCCTTGTGAATGTAGATTAGAAATAGGATATTTGCTAAAAACAAACAAACAAATCTAAGTTTAGAATTGATGCTTAAATGACTGTTCTCCCCAAACAGTGATTACTAAACATGTTAATAATAATTGATTATACAATCACCATTACATGAAGTAACATCTAATCACTACTGAAGGTATTTTATACAGAGTAGTAAAATACTTGTTTGTGAAGATTCTACATTCAAAGAAGTAAAATCTTCTTTGTTGAAGTTAATGCTTTTTTTGTACATTAAATTGCAAATTATTTTTGCATGTTAGATTAATAATTAAGGAAGATTATGTTTATAGTCAAACTACATTTTATCTCTGTTTATTTTTATTATTTGTAATTTTAATATTCCTGCATAAGAGAACTAGCTTTAAAGTTAGATTAACATTTTACAATATTTATACTGTCCAACATTGTATGACTTAATTTACTGTCAAAGAAAGCAATTTTGTTTCTAATAATTTATTTTCAGGAATATTCTAACCTTTTCATTTTATTTTTTTACATTAGCTTTCATGTGTATGTAGAGAGTTGTTTGTATTTGTTGATATTTAACAAATTTTTGACTCCTTTTTGTATAATAGAAAATTCATGATGTACAACATTATATTATTTTCAATTTGTATTTGACTGACATGTTTTTGAAGTCTTTATTAGTGTTGTGTATTTTGTGTTATGTTCTAAATCTTATCTATTTTTTTTTTTAGTTTCAAGGTGCGTATTTATGTTTGTGATTAAGTAATTGGTGCTATGATGAATGGAATTAAGTATTGTGTTTTTCAGGATTTGAAAGCTGGGGTTATTTGTGAGAAGCTACAAAATGCTGATTCAAGGTGAGTCTGCTCTTGCCCAAGTGTTGAAAAACATCTCAGATTTTAACACACTGTGTATGGTTGGGAATTAAAGTGTACATGCCACAACCTTTTACAAAGTGCCATTCAACATAATATTATGTAATTGATGTCCCGCAGAATATGTTTCAATATCTTGAATATAATTACTGCAATTTTTGACCCTTCAGAAGCTAGTTAATACATTTTTCTGATCTAATGAAATGGTATGTTTATAGTTTGAATTTTTCAGAAAAACATTATTTGAAAACTTGGAAAAGCTTAATTTTAAGATGGAATCAATTTACAAATTGGCAAAGGTTATCAAGTTACATGGTGAAGTGAGGGCTAGAGAAGTTAACAGTTGGTTAAAAACAAATTCAGGTGGGACTGGTTGGAGAAAGAACTAGAAATTAAGTTTCTTGTTGGGAGTAAACCACAAGTAATGAAGCAAAACTGGGATATTTGATTAAAAAGGTTGATTTGCCAAGAAAAGCTTTCCTGACAATGTGCAACAAATTGATAAACCATGATTCACTCAGTTGATCTACAATTTTGACACATTAAACTTCTATGCACAGAATTTTCAAATATCAAACTAGGTTGGTCTAATCTACTGTAAAATTTAAAGCCATCATGTCTGTCTTTTACAAGAAAAAAAAGACAATTTCAGTCAAATTGGTAATGGATAGCATAATGACCTTTGTAATAAAATCCTGGCCCCTATCACCACAAACTTGTCTTCTAAGGACTCTCTAAAGATGATAGCAGATTAGCAGCTGAAATGTAAAATAAAAAGTAAATGGTAATTAGCAACTAATAAAAGAAATTCCTGAGTAACTAATGATTAATATAATGTGATCATGTAGGCTACTGACCATGATAGTGAATGAAGGCCTAATATACTTTTGTTCTAAACTTGATACTTCTACAATAAACGAGTGAAATATGATACAGGATTGTTTTAAACAAAGATTAAAAATTTGTTTTTGGAAAATCAAATTGTAGCCACAGAACTAATTGTAAATACCAATAGTTCAGTGATGTAAATTTCTATACATTTCAGTACTGTGGCTACACATTTATATTTTACAAGAAAACCACAGTTCACAAACTCTAACATGCTTGTACTGGTTCAGAAACTGAAGTATTACCTGCTTATGCTGAAATGTAGAGCCTACCAGTTAATTAAGCTCGTATCTTTGGTAATTTCTTACAATTGTTGTTCCTTTGAGAAAGGTACAAGTTGTCTGGCTAACTACAATGTAAGTCCTCAATATATTTATGAAGCTTTATAAAAAGCTGCATGAGATATGTACTTACAACTTTCTGTTGTATTCTGTTTATGAAAATGTTTATATTTTTAAATTTATTTATTGGTCTCAGCTACATTTAGGTTGAACTGAACAAACATTTTTACTATTAACTAGTGGATTAACTTGATATAGAGTTATATGGTCAAGAACTAGTATCTCCTTTTATTTAGACCATTAAGATAAAGCAATTATAATGCTGAGAATTTTGTAATACAACGAGCATTTTTACTGGTTTTCTGTCAGCGACTGCGAAGAATCAGACAGCTCGGAGGAGGAAGATTTGTGTCTTAAAGTGAAAAAAATAACTCTAAAGGTATCTATATTTTGTTGTTGTTTGTTTTACATATATGTTGATTAACAAAGCAAAGTTTGTAATTATCAAACTTCATATAACACATTGTTTCATTGATATTGCTTACTAGAAACCTTAGGTTTCAGACTTTGCTTATAGAATAAAATGTTTGGGAGCAAATATCTTATGTTGTAAGAAAATAAATATGTACAGTAGTATTCTAATTTCTAACTTTCTTGCTGACTAAGTAAGCTTCAGCTTATTGGTATATGTCAGAAAAACTAATCATCTAATCTAAATACATTTAAAGTATTCTAACTTCCACTTTCATACCATTATGGGCCTAGTGGGATTTAAATTCACTATCATATCAGTAATACTTGCTAATGTTTCATGTTAGAGTTCACTGTGCTTAAGTATTTTCTGGTTAATGTGGCTTTTATATAGTTCAGTTGTTTAAATATAAGACTATACTGTTTATTTATTTATTGTTTAAAATATTGTAATTATAAAAGTTATAAAACTAATTTTGTATTGCTAAAGAAAAACAACAAAATTTCACATCAGGCACAAAACATTGAAACATGAAAAACTGTCACTGATGCTTTACATAGTTAGAAAATATTCTGCATATTACAACTTGCACAAAGCCTTGCATTGCATATTGGTTAGGGCATTTGACTCATGGGTCATGGGATTGAATCCTATCACCAAACATGTTTGCCCTTTCAGCTGTAATATCAATCCTGTTATTCATTAGTAAAAGAGTAGCTCAGTAGATGGCAGTGGGTGATGTTGACTAGTTGTCTTCCTTCTAATCTATCACTTCAGAATTAAGGATGGCTAGTGCAGATAGCCCATGAGTAACTTTGCATAAAATTTAACAAACAAACCATTTTTACAGATAATTATTTCGTAATATGAAAGATGTCACTAAATTCAGCTCATTAATTAAAATCGAGAATATATTTATTTATTTTACATTAAAAGCAAAATTACTTTCTGCTTTATTTGTCAACTCTATAACAAATTAATGCCAAAGCTGTTTGATTTTGTTTTTAAACTAACAAAAAAACAAAATGATTGGATAATTTTTTAAACTAATGTTTGTATTTATAAATGTGTGTGTGCATATGTTGCTGCTGTTTGTTCTTAAAGGCATGGAATAGAATAAATTCTTGTATGTCATAACTTTTGCCTTTTACCTCTTTTTATGTCTGATAAGAATATCTTTTATAGGGTCGTGGATTAGGTGGCAAACCAAAAAATGAAAAAGGAATGAATTCATAAAAAGGTTTGTTGTTATAAAGGTAGCCATCTCTCACTGTATGCTCTTTTATTTTCCAAAATTTTCTAAAAAGGTTTAAAAAGTTTTTGGTGATGCTTTTTGTTATTTCTGTAATGCTACTTATCTAATTTTTTAGATAAATTGTATGTAATGACAATTAATCAAATTCCAGGTGTAGATAGATGTGGGTGAGTGCCATTAGAAATAAAAGATGTCTGTAGCAGACTAAGGCATTCATTTATTTATTTAATACACTTAATATTTAACATAAAATAGAGTTCACAGAAATGGGGATTAGACTAACAGATAAAACTTTTAAAAGTTGGACATTTTATTGAATACAGGAAGTGTATGTATATGGAAGAGTTTGTCTATATCATCCAAAGATAACACTAGATCAGATTTTATATTTAATTTTAACTTGTATATTTTATATATTAAGGTTAATCCAGCTCATACAACTTCTCATTTCAGTAAAGAGAGACAAAGAAAGTGTGTGTTTTTTTTTAGTCAAGTGGAGTTATCAGCTAATTTGAGGGGCATTATTCTGCCTCTTGATGTATAATGAGTTATAACATATCTAAAGAAATGGAAACAGATATAGGTTTTTGGATAAGATAATATTTTACTTGATATTTTTAGGTAGAATGCAAATGAGACTACCTAAAAACTTATCAAAAGCTTTGAAAGCACATAAAATTGTACAGTAGATATTCCATTCTGTTCAAATCACCTGTTGAGTATATCTCAAAGTAAGTTCAGAAGTCTTTATATGGCTTTATTTACTAAGAATACTCTTTACTAGCTTCAGTTAGTTTTCAGCTTTTAGTTGAACTCTTAAACAGAAGGCTAACAAAATATCTTCATGTCAGTAAGAATCTGCTTTAACACTGCACTCATCTTATTCATTAAAAGTAGTTCATTCAATCATTTCTTCACTTGCAAACTTAAAAAGCCTCATTTTCATTCCCAGTCTAGGAGGCACTTGTAACAGCTTCAGTAATGTGTACTTACACATATAAGGACAATTTTCTCAAACTGATACCAATTTTATATAGAAAAATGGCAGTTTAAAACACCACATTATTTTACTGCTATTTCTATTTTACTGTCAGAATATAAACCATCTTTATATCGCTCCTATCAAACTTAGTTTCTTTTCATGAAATGCTTTGTTATCAGAAAAGAACTTTCTAGAACAGTGTTTGGATGATGATGATGATGTGTCTGATTCTTTTTTTTTTGCTTGTTATAATAATATCTGTTGAAGGTTTTTGTGTGATTCTGTTTTCAATTCATTGTATGTATAGCTTCATTAATATAAATATATGTATATTTACATGATAGGTTGTTTATGTGGTATGAGCACTATCTTTCTGATATGGTACTTCCCTCCACTATATGCAGATTTTTTCTTTATGCATGCCACAAGCCTTCTGCTCCCCCCCTACTGGAATCAATTGATTTTAACAAGTCTCTCATGTAAATCATCAGGTATCACTTCCCCACCAAAAGGAGAGTGACATACTCAAGTGATGCATGTGACTCCCTTTATACACCTCTACCGAACTATCACTTCTTGTTTGGCAGTGCTTGTGCTTGAATGTGTTCCTTTTTGTTTGTTTAAAGTTTCATGTTCGTCTTTAGTATACTCACAAAGTGGTCTCATTTATTTTCACTTCTAGTTTCTATTACGACTGTTTCTTAACTTCACTTTAATCTCAGTTTATTACAGTCTCATTGCTCTTCCTCATGAATTTTGAAGCTCATGTTACCACTTCAGAGGTCACACCTTTGACTATTGCTATGTCTCAGGCCTCAGGTGCGGGCAACCTGGCGGGGGAGTTATCCGCGTTTATTGACCAAGAGATTAAAAGTTACAGGGGTCAACCTTTGTCTTTGGACCTCACCCATTTCCTCCCAAATGAGCTGAGCTTGTTCAGGTAGACGAGGACTTGGATCACCTATTTCCACCTCCTGATTTTGCCATGCCTTCACATGAGGAATCAGTTAGGCTTAATATGGTCTTTTTGGATCTCATTTTTCAAGTATGTGATGTTTTATCCCTTTCCATTGTCCTTACCATGTTAATGCATTCCTTTCGAATTTGTCACCCCCCCCCCCCACCCCCAGACAGCCTACTCTTCCAGACCGGGATATTAATGTGGTCCTCCACTCCCTCAATTTACCTCCATTTGAACAACTTTCCTCATTTTCCATGTTTCATCTATAACTTAAAATGTATTTTTTTTTCTCCTCTTAGCTCTTCACCCCTTTGATTGGGATCCCTCATCCTACATCCACATGGATGTTGGTACCTCATGGCTGGGTTTTTGGATTTAGCATAGAACCAATAAACATAAGTCTCCACACATATTTATGGTTGTCTATATTCCTCCATCGATCATACTCCTGTATTGTGGGTCACAGTTGAGGTAAAGGGGATGGTTCCAGTCAGTTTCATTGTTAGTGGAGTTGATTTATATTATGTAGACATCCTTTTGATACCAGATGTCAGGTCCCCGGATCAATAAATTAAAGCTAACACGTGTCATGCTCAGGAGTCGGAGTGGTTCTTGATTCCCCCTTGTTTCTGGAACTTCAGGTGAAGACGGTATGATCCTCATCCTACCACCGCATGAATGTCTGTTCCCAGTGGCATGGGTTTTGGATGTAGTTGTTTTACTGAGTACGGTCTGTCATGCCCTAGCCACTCTACACCTATGGGCACATCCATTGTTTTACCCACTTTTATACTTTGTGGGATTAAGTTACATATATATATATATTTACATGGTTAGGATCACTATCCTGCCACAGTTCTCTCCAACTTGGATGTGCACCACTCTTTTTCTACCCTTATCTACTACGCATTTCATGGATGGGTGAAGAGCATACCTGGTTCAGAAGTGGTGCAGTTCCTGTCATCACATCTTCGGATCTGACTCTCATTTCCAGGGACATTCTTCAGACACTTTTGGGGGGTACTTCTGTCATTTCCTTGCACCGGTCCTACCACCTAATCAATGTGGGATTCTAGCTAATCTTGTGAGAGGAGGGAAGTACCTATTGAAAATACATTTTCAGTATAGGAAAATTATAGTTTTTGGTTATTAAGTTTATCTTTATTAATTTTACAGATTAGAAAAAAAACAACCCAGGCAACAAGATGACACAAAGACAAATAGGAAACTGAAATATATGACTAGTCAGCTTTGCTCTCTGTAGCTATGGCTATTGCTTTTCCTGGGGATATTATGGAACAGTAAAGTGACAGTTGTGTGGATGCAATGTTCTGGAGATGTGGGTCTTTTTTTCTTTTGTGGACCATTTTTTTCTTAAAAAAACATTTTCTATATAAATTTTGTATTTGACTATAGAGCAAATACATTGTATAATTTCATTTGTACTTGTTCCAGTGGGAGGTGTAAAACTGTATTTACATTTGAACTCCTTGTTTTATGTTTTTTCAAGAGGTATTTCCTTGTTGCTTAAATTTTTATACAAAGTAACTTGGCTGTTTATTTTACTGATAATTTTTCCTGATGATTTTGGTGCAATTAAAAAAAATATATATATACCAATTTTACACTGAAAGCTTTTGGTATGTGTCAATTAATAGGCAATGTTAAGAATCTTCGGCAGTTATTTTGCTTTAATATTAATCTCATTTTTTAGTGTGAATCTAGTGATTGCATAACTTAAACATAATTTAGAGATTGATTTGTGTTACAAAAATTATACACCACAAGATCAGAAATGTACATAAAATTTCTTGTATTCATTATCATATGATCATTTATTTATATAAAAATAAGGATAAATAATAGAATACCAATTAACCATATTGTGTTAGCAAGGAAGATCGATTGTCAGAATAAATGAGACATCACTTTGATATAGTAGTAAGAATGAAGATTCACGGTTTGGATGTGAAGCTAATACAATATATTTATAAGAGACTAAGGGTTTCGTATTTAAGTTTCCAAATGACAGAAAATGAACATGAAAGAGATAATGGATTTCATATAACGTGTTTAAGATGTAGAAATCAAGTATGGACTTGTTAGCTTTGAATAGTAATGTTTTATTCCTAAATAAAATTGCATTCATTTATATTGTAAAAAACATTTTAGTTTTAATATTTATGTGCACCTAGTTGTGTGAGCCACAAAGTAGTGTGAATGTTTGTGCTGAGTGATAATTTTTTCCTCTTGGTAATTGACTCAGTTCCTGAAATTACATCTGAATACTTCACCATTATTTCAGGTTGTCTTCTAATTGATATGCAGCACATAAATGTGTTTATTGTGTTTTTTTAAGTGGTTTCCCTTCCTATTGCATAAAAAAATAACAATGAGATTAACCAAAAAGAGGATTAACAGTAATATGTAACTGAATTGTCATTTTTGGCTTGTCTTGGCACTCAAGTGTATAAAGAAATTGTGGCTTAAGCTATGATTGTGTGAAAAAGCTTGCTGAAAATGTTTTATTATGCTATTAGTAATATTTAATATTGTTTCTAAATGGTTGAATAATTGTTATTTATTTGTTTATATATCGAAAATTAGTTATAAAAATCAAAATACTCTACAGATATATCTTGTACTTGTTTCACAAGTAATAGATATGTTATTCTTTATAATTATAAAAATCACTTTGATTGTTATATAACCAAGTGAAATAAACACTATAAAACTAGTGTGTAATAGCTAAGTTATAATTTGTGATACTTTCTTTACTTGGCTAGCAACTCAAAGAACCAGTTTGAGTTAGTAGCAAGTGTGGAATACTCAAATATGGGTGGCAGAGTGTAGTCGGAAAAAAAGCTTAAAAGTTCTATTCATTTGTTGTTGAAGTTAAAAAATAATATCAGAGGTCAGGCTTATGTTTTAAAAATTGTGTATTGCATTATTTCAAAGTACAATGTTCTAGGAAATACGTAAACATTGTATATTTACAATCTCATAATTTTTAACTCAAAAATATTATAGAATATATATATATTTTATAATTTTGTAACATTTATTTAGTGTAATTCACAAAGAAAAATGAAAAAAAAAAGTTCTCAGGTGGCCCACCTGTAAAAAAAACAAAAAAAACTGATTTTTCAGAATTGTTCTGCCTATCCCAAATTTTAGGTTTTTTTGCTTAAGAAAATTTCATTTCTTGAGAAGTTAGTTATCCATGTCTTGTTTCTCACATGTTTGTTTCCACCTATTTTCTGATATGACTACATGATTCCTTCCCACCCTTTTATGATATGACATCTGTTGTCTGAACAACTAATAATGAAGGACAGCTTTTAAAATAGCTGTAGGAAACATCAAGATATGATTGTATAGAGGATGTTATAAATTATTTATGTAAATCTATAGTAAATAAAGTCGTTAAAGCAGTAATTTATAGTTTTATGGAAAAGTGACTAGACAAGATCCTGCAAAGATAGGCAAAGGAACCTAATGGAAAGTTTAGAAGACGAGGAAAAAAACATTGATCTGCTAATTCTTTTTATGGTTTCTTTACACATTATTTTGTGTCCCTAAGAATATGTTTTTGTTAAATTATGTTGTTTGAAAACTACAAAACTTTTCTTCTCTGACAAGACACCAGATAAGCTTAAATTTAGGTGTACTGAATATACAATTTAGTATAATAAAATAAAAACATTTATGCACCACACCAAATGCACAGACTTTACTTACATCTTAATTTTTGCATAAAATAATAAATAATTTTTGTTTTTTGTTTAAGTGTGACGCTTAATATGAAGTAATTCTTGAATCAGTCCTGAATAAATGTTTTTTTATTATGTTTGAAGATAATAAACTAAAAAATGAGAAATCCTTTCTTAAGTAATGTTATATTACTCTTACAAGTTTCATTTATTAGTTCTTTACTTTAAATAGATATAGAATAATATTTGGAATTCTGTCAAGGTTCATAGAACTGTACAGTGGAAATAATTTGTTGGACTTCAACGAGAATGTTTTTTTTTTTTTGTAGATGTTGCTGAAAAGTTAATAAAAGTGTGATAGACCATTTATGTTATTTGTATTATTCAAAGTTTTAGTTTCCTTTCATTATTATTCATTAAAATATTACCATTAAATCACATTAGTAAAGATACACATGCCAGACGTTGAATTTTTTTATTGGCCTCATGTAAACGTTCAATTTATGTCATTCATCGTCACTAAGGCAGTAACAAGAGAGAAAATAGTACAATTAGGATTTTATCAGGTATTTTAAGTGTGACTTACCAACCTCTTAGATCACTTATATTTTTATTGTTTAATGAATTGTGTTACCTTTGTGCGTGGGGGCGGGGGGGGGACAGATATAGGATTTAATTTTTAAGATTTTAAAATTATCTCTAAATTGTGACCTTTACTGACATAAACGTGTTATTATTATTATTAATATTATTGATGAGCGGGGTAGCTATATTATCTTGTACCGAAATAAATATCTGCAATAAAATAGTTATTATAAACAATGATTTACAAGCAAAAATTTCACAAACATACATGCAATATAAAGTCTTCCTTTTAATCTGGAACTTCTTCGATATCTTTATCGAGGGCTCACGATGAGCGAGGTGGCGTAGGTATATTTCTCTTACCGGAATCTAGCTAGCCCTGTAGTCTTCACTGTTCATACGCCAATTAGGGATCGAGTTTCCACTGATGACGTTAGGTAATGTTTTCCTAAAAGTACTAATGTCCAATGTGAATCCACTGAAGTTGAATGGTTTGTAATGTTCGAAATTTCTAAACGTTCCTGATTAATATATTTTAAAGTTCCCGATTAATAAGCGTTAATCATAGTGATAGCTTATGAAGTTTATAGCAAACCAATAATAGATACTGTTTTTGGCGCAGCGCGTTGGTAATATTAATAGGCGTGTGGAGAGTTTCTTGAAATTTCAGTTTACGTAACAATACTGACGCTAACACTAGCGTTTACGAACACATATATTGTTGATTCTTACACTCGAGAATCTTTTACAACTTTATAAAATAGGCTGGAGTTTCGCAATATATGATTAACAGTGTAAGTTATGTACATTTGTAAATACGAATTCAACTAAAAAAACAATGACATTAAAATAAATATATAATAATAAATCCTTCACACCGCTCAAATAAAAAAACCCATAAAATATTACTGCTTGTAGATTAGGCAGTTATTATTTATTATAAGGTAAAAGTATCAACTCCAATATTTAAATAAAGAATAGAATGGATGCATATATTATTAATAATTCTACCATTAGGTTTATGTAAAAATGACTGATTTTGCTATTATGAATGTGAAAACCTTAAAAGAACAATTTAAGATTTAAAAATTTTAAATGCTAATTTTATTAGAAACAAACTAGATTCTACCTTCTTTGTAATATTCATCAAAAAATGTTTACGTAACATGACCAGCCTTAGGCACTAATTTCATGAACTGCTATAATATGTAGATGTACTTTAGATATACAGCATGTTTGTTTGTAATTAAGCATAAAGCTACACAATGGGCTATCTGTGCTCTACCCACCACAAGTATCGAAACCCGGTTTGTAGCGTTGTAAGTCCGCAGACATACTGCTGTGCCACTGGGGGCTACAGTATGTTTCAGAAATAACTTCCATATTTTGAGGCCAGGTGGTTAGAGAGCTCGACTCGCAATCTGCGGGTCGCGGATTCGAATCCCTGTCCCACCAAACATGCTCGCCCTTTCAGCCGTGAGGGCGTTATAATGTGACAGTCAATCACACTATTAATTGGTAAAAGAGTAGCCCAAGAGTTGGCGGTGGGTGGTGATAACTAGCTGCCTTTCCTCTAGTCTTACACTGCTAAATTAGGGACGGCTAGCGCAAATAGCCCTCGTTTAGCTTTGCGCAAAATTCAAACACAAACAAACCATATTTTGAACTTTAACAAAACCAAAAAGAAACTTTGTAAACGTTCCGATTTGACTATAGGGTTTATGATAGAATACAAATAAATGTAATACGTACAATTAATTTATAATTATAGCTTATTTAATTACAAGTATTTACAAAACATTAAAAACGCGAAAAATTAGCTTTGATGATAATTAAATTTGCTTATTAAACGGTCTGTGGAACTTAATCAGACTGTCAAACCCCGGTAATGAACGAAGAGCTTGTTAAGCAGTGACTTGTGGGAAATTAAAGATAGACCTTAAATTATTTTGAATCTAAAATAGACAAATTAAGAAGAAACAAACAACTTTAGCTAATTTCAGGCCTAATGGTTTCTAAAGCTTCGCACCATAAAGTTTTGTATGTAGTCGTATACCATGCATTTTCTAATTTCTCATTTTAATATAGAATTTAAATATTTGTTTCATTTATTCTGAGTTTATGCAGGTCAGAACACATGGTTCAGAAAACTATTAAGTTGGCTTCGTTGTTGTTATTATTTTTCTTTTGTTGTTATCTAGATTATAAAATATTGATACTAGCAGTTTCCTTCATTGGTTGAGTAATGATACCTAAAAGTTACGGACTCCTCTATGTTGAATGAGAATGATCTGTCACGTAGGTAGTGCTAGTCACTGTGGGTAAATCTGATGTTTTCTGATGTACACATTTATATCCAATCTATTTATTTCTTGGCTTATACTCTATCAGTTTAGCTAAATCCAGTATTACTTCATTATTTATTCTACCAACCCTCCCATTATGCCTAATACTATTTGTGAAAATCAGTTTAACCTGATAATACCACAGAATACATAAGAATGATAAATTTTGGTGCATTTTTCTGTTTTTGCTAAAATGCGTATTGTGCTTACTTGGACTAAGTTAAGTACAAAGGTGGACAGTGGAAATGTGAAACTGTACATATCATAACTCTGAATTTACTATGTGTATCTTCACAGAATTTGATAAACGTTTAGTAACCATTACAAGCCATTGAAAACACACACAGAAATCATAATTCTTAAATCTTAATAAAGTATTTCTACTAAAGATTTGTCTATAAATTTCCAAAGCCTTTGCTTCATGAATTTAGTCTGCCATGGTCAGGTGGTTAGGGCGCTCCACTCGCAATATGATGGTCGCGGGTTCGAATCGCCATCCCACCAAACATGATCGCTCTCTCAGCCGTGGGGGGCGTTATGATATGACGGTCAATCCCACTATTCTTTGGTAAACGAGTCACCCAAGAGTTGGTGATGATTAGCTGCCTTCCTTCTAGTTTTTCACTGATTTGCGCGAAATTCATAACAAACCAAACAAACAAACTTCACGAATCTGTGTGCAAGGTGATTTTCATGCTAAGATAAAAATACTTCTTGGCATTTTACAGTTTTCATATTTCATTTGCATAACCTCAAGAACCCTTTAAATGAATATTATTATTGTTTTATAAAATTAATTTTAGTGAACTCATCATTGTAGAGTAAAACAAAAAATTAATAATATCATTTGTTTATTCTAGGATGACTGCAGATTGTAATTGACAGTTACAGTTATATCTTTCTTCTAACATCTTCGAATTTTTTCACATTTTCTTTCTTTTAATTTTATGGGTTTATTATTATACTTTTGGTCCCTATCTATATGTGAAAAGTAATAAATCGTAATTTAATGCTACTGATCGAGCTTTGGTTAAACATGATCATGTTACAGCCAAGCATGTACTTCAAACTTGAATTACAGGTCAAATGAGCTTTCTACCTAACCTAAGAAATTTCTAACTTTTTACATTTTAGTTACTTTGTTAGAAATATAAAAGGAAGTAAAAAAAAACACATAAAAATGAAGAAATTTATCACTTATATCTTGGCTCACGTCTTTTGCACTCATTTCTGTAGCACAATAAATATAATTTTTTCTCACTAGGTTAGTTTTTAAATGAGATTCCATGTAGCATCAAATATGCATTTTATTGCACAAAAATACATCAGGCACTAGAACAGAATATGCATAAACTACTATATTGTAACTGGTTTTCTAACTAAGCTATAAATAGGTCGAAAATTTTATTAGTTTCTCAGAGTTGAACAACAATGATCACAGACAATCTAAAGTGAACTGTCTATGTGTGCCTGCCAAAAAAAGAGTTAACTGTAAAAAGGTTTTTATATTCGTTATAAAATGTACATCAAATAAGACACATGGTATGATCTTGATAGCTATTGTTACGTCTCTGT